CCCCCCGTTCTCTGCGAGGACAGCTCTTAATTAGTGCAACGAGAGAGTGTCTTTGTGTGCCATTGATGCTCGGAAATATCTCCTAGTCAAGAACTCGAACATGAGTTCGCCCTTAGTGTTAAGCAGTAGTAGTGTGCCGAGTGTATGCCGAAGGGCAGCATGTGTGATGTGGGTTTCAGTCGGAACTTGTGGAGTCTATCAGTGTTTCGTCTGTCAAGCGTGTAGGAGCGACGAGAGATGCCAATTTGCCGGCGAATCGGGGAAATCTCGCGCGAACAGGTCGGATAAATGATCGAATTTGCTATGAAAAAATTGGCAAACTGATTTTAATTCGTAATTTCACATTGACAAAGGATTTTGATTTGCAATTTAACATTAATCAATTTTGAAAAATTGAGATCTTTCAATTTTACATCGGCAACTCGATTTCAATTTGCAACTTCACGTCAATTTTGACAAATTGAAATCCTCAATTTTGCATTGACAAGTTGATTGCAATTTGCAATTTTACCTTGATTGATTGAATGTAATTTGTAATTTCGCGTTAATCAATTTTGTTGAATTGAAATCTCTCAATTTTACATTGTCAAATGGTTCAAATTTGCAATCCTGTGTTAGTCAATCTTGAAAAATTGAAATTTCTCAATTTTGCTTTGACAAATTGATTTCAACTTGCAATTTTATATTGACTTCAATTTGCGACTTCAGGTTAATCAATTTTGACAAGTTCAAGTCATTTTCAAGTTTACAATTGACACATCGGTTTCAATTCGCAACTTTACATTAAATGGAACTTAGAATTTGCCCGTTTGTTAATGTAACACGACAAATTGAAATTAATATACTATTTTGTTAACACAAAATCGGCGAACTGACCTGTCCGCGCGGAATTTTCTCAATTTTTCGAAAGGAGGCTCGACCACATAGCGAGCTCTCGGAATGTTCCTACACTGAGAGAAAAATTATCTTAAAATCAACAAATATTTCCTTGGTGGGTGCCATTAACATATTTACTTAAATCTACATTCTCTTTACTTAAATAAAATATTGTTTATTTAAATCAAATAAACAATATTTGATTTAAGTAAAGAGAATGTAGATTTAAGTAAATATGTTAATAGCACCCACCAAGGAAATATTTGTTGATTTTAAGATAATTTTTCTCTCAGTGTACGCGCTTATTAGAGGAGATCATTTGCATGCCAGAAATGTGCGTGTTACATCGACGTAGAAATCAGATATAGCCCGTCCACTGTACCTCTCGATTTTCCCGATACCGGATATCCGTCTATTCTCGCGCGGAGAGAAAAATTCCCACGTAACGCGTCGGAATATAAATTAACGTGCACGAGATCGGAAGGGTAATTCCGTTACACAGGAACAGGATCGCGTTATTTTGCGTATGGAGATAACGTACAATCTTGTTCTCTCTTGCGAGATAAGATTGGCACTTCAGCAGATGTGCCCCGATTTATGGCTGTATCTCTCGTGTGTAATTGCACGCAGGCGAGAGAGGGCGAAAGCGCGCGCAGTGTTCGCTTTCGTTTCATGCGCCGTGCCGATCGTTCGATTCGATCGTTAGATCGCGGCTTGGAATAACGACGCGTTTGTCTCGGGGGAATGGAGAGTCCCAGATGTGAAGAAAAAATCGTTAGTTAGCGCGATCAGAGCTGCCATTGTGTCGGCACTTCGACGTCGATTATTCGCGAGCATAGTTCTCTTGTATCCTCTTGTTGTGCCGCTCTCTACGCAAAGTGACAGAAACAGTGTTCATTAGGGGACAACGGGATAAAGAAAGAGAGAGCTCGAGGGAGAGCGATCACGAGCTATGCCGTTCGAGTCAATCGCCGTCGGAATAATCGATCCTCGATTGTTCGATCGCCGATCGGAGAGATCGAACACTCGAAGATCCGTTCACACAAGGGAAGGGTCCGAACTGTCCCCATGTCGGTTTTGATGGGCTTTGAATATGTTGTAAAGCGACCGAAAGCATTAGACACCCATATTTTTTATATGCTTATCTCGACGTTTAATGATGGAAGTCTCAATTGAAGTTTGAAATAGGGGAAAATAGAAAATTTCATTTTCAGCGAGTATTGTGGAGAAACTATGAGATGTGTAAAAAAATGGTCTATACAAAAGTTTCGTGGTATTTGAAACTGGTTTTAATTTGCAATTGCGCACGTAAAACAATTTCGACAAGTTTAAATCTTTTAATTCTATATTGACTGATTGATTTCAATTTTATAGAAAGTGGGGATAAATAAAAAAATTTGGCATTGTTGGTAAACGCGAATATACAGCTGTAACCACTGTAAAACACCACAAATCTTTTCTATATATCATTTTTTCATGCACCTCATAATTTCTCTACAATGTTTACTGAAAATTAAATTTCCTTTTTTTTTTCAAGGATTTATTCTAACCCTTAATTTCTTCATCGGTGATTTAAGGTAACTGCACGACTTCCTTCAGTGCAGGTCTTTTTATAAACATATTTCAATTTCTTTTTACTTATTGATATTTTCTTTAGAGGATTTTGAAAAATGATATACAAGATATATCTAACTTTTTTGTTATGAGTCAACAAACAGATATAGTATTTTAAGTAAATGAAAAGAAACAATTTAATAATTAATATTTTATTTATTATGAATTAAATAAATTAATATTTTATTTATTATATTAATATTTATATCCTATATATTAATTATTATTAATATTTATAATAATATTTTGTATATTATAAATAATTATTCATTTATAATATTAAAGAAACTTAACATTTTAGCATATTACTTAAAAGGAACTTAAACGTCGAGATGAGCATATGAATGGATCTGGAGCTAATATTTTCCATTGCTGAGGATCAGTGAGGGACAGTTCGGTCGTCTTTCCTCTCCGGACGACCATTAGAAAGAATCGCACTTTCTCGCGGTTCGCCTCGACTAACGGACGGAAAAAAATCTCCTTTTCGCAGATGGCAACCCGGTAACCGGAACCGGCTACGCATCCGAGCCACTGAAGAACGGTCCGACCATGCAGAACGGCACCGTCAGCTCGAATTCCAGCAGCGGCGAGAAGTCGACCGACTCGTCGCCGACGGCGAAGCCGGCGACGCGCACCCGCGTCCCACCCGGTGGCTACTCATCCGGACTCTGGTAAAGGGCGACCAACAGCGTCGCCGTCGGCGGTTGTCCCGTCGCCCGCTCATCGGGACAACCCGATCGATCCTCTTCGATCTTCTTGTATTCTTAACCCGCTAAGGCCCGCGATCGCGCCTTTTCGTTTCGCCGTTATAACAGAGATAAAGAGACACAGAGGAGGAAAGGAGAGAGGGAGGGAGGGAAGGTAGGAAAAAAGGAAGGAAGGAGAGAATTCCAAAATGAGAAGATCGATAGATCTCAGTTGCCGTGTATACACCTATACCTGCGCAGACAACGTTTTCCGCCGCGCGATTGTTTCTCTAGGAGGAGCAAACCACCCACCCTCGTCGAAGAGAGAGAGAGAGAGCTTCTGGAAGCAGGCGGATGAGACAAACCTGCTGCCACCGTCGGCGCGGGCTTTATTGGGTTAATCAACGAGTGGTCTAACACCATTTTTCTCTGTTTTCTTTTCTCTTTTGCTTTGTACCGATTGAAAGGAAAAAAAACGCAGAAGGAAAGAGAGAGAGAGAGAGAGAGAGAGAGAGAGAGGGAGGGAGGGAGGAGGAGAGGAATAGTAAGAGTGATAACCTGCGACTTCTTGATACACAGATGACTAGATAACTCTTTCTCGGCCTCGAATAATCGACACTTAGGCAAAATTGTTTTTTAGAGGTGACACACAAACGTATTATATATACGTACGTACACATACACACACACATATACATACATACGGTGACGGATAAGCCATCATCACCACCATCGTCGTGATAATTATCATCATCATAGATCATCGTCATTATCATCGTCACTTTGTTTCTTTTTAATAAAAATATTTGATACCGTCTTGTAGCGATATTTGTCATCGGGAGGGCGGAAAAGCTTTCAATGGGGACAAAAGATAGTAATAATAATAGGAGAAACCCGTCGAGACTCCTCGTGTCGCGATATCCGCAATACAGAAGCGAGCGTAAGCTGCGTTCTATCTCGCGTCTCGACCAGCGACGGGGAGGAGAGGAGGATCGCGTTCGACTTTCCTAGATCCCGGCAATGAGAAGAAAATACTTGAACATTTGTTTACGTGATACGAAGGTTATTTCACAGAAGTAAGATCGGAAGTAAGCTTGTTCGGAAACAAGCTCTCGCAGAAGTGGACTTCAGTTCGCAGAGAAGTCAACCTTATATCCTGCGAACAAATACGCGAGGATCTTCTCCTCGGTGTGAGAGGAGTCAGTCGCGCGCGAATTCCGCTTCGAGAAGAGTCAATTTTCAGGCCAAGTATCAGCGGGGGCGACTGGGACGCGACAAGGACAAGGGAGGTAATCTTTTTCGCATCTCGCACTTGCTTATCCCGCCCTATCGGTCGTCTGAGACGAGGGCGATGTCTGAAAACGATTCCGCGGACACTTCAGCGAGGAGGGATCTCTCGTTGATTCGTTCAGGTGGCCACGCAAAAAGTTCCGCGCGAGCGCAGGTGTAAACCGATGCCGGCTTCGTCGAGCGTGAATCATCACCGGTCCTTCAATTAGCAACTCTAGTACAGGCATTATCGCGAACAAGTAACTGTATATAGAGGTAGTTAAAACGATCATCGCGCGTAAAGAGCGGGCCTGCTCTTCTTCCTCCTCTCCTTCGAGACTGAGAAGTTCCCCCGGTCGGCGAACGATCCGCGCGAGTCGTAAATCATCCCGCTGGGAAACACGATTTTCTATCGGCTCGGATTTAATGAGCCTTGTGAGTGAATCGGAGGGGAGAGCGAGCGATCGTGGCGTAAGACGAGAGCAAAAGCGTTCGTCTTCCTTCCCGTGAGATTCGTCATCAGAACTCGTCTTGCACTCCTCCGTCACGGGGAATGAGTTCCCCTTTGCTCTCTTTGTCACGTTGATCGCTCTGTATCTCGCTGCTGAACGTCATCGTCGTCACGACTAGCATGACACGATCCACACGCGAAGCCGCAATTGTGGAACTTACGTGGAAAACTCGCGCTCCGCTCCGAGAAGATACTTGAGAATTTATTTGTGGGATATAAAGTCGATTTCTGCGAATGTGCACCTTGTATCCCGCGAATAAGTGTTCGAGTATTTTTCCCCTCAGTGCTGACAATTTTAATATTGACATGATATTAAATCTGAAAATTTCAAGAATCGAGGTGCCTGTAAGATCGGGATGATCGATTCTTTTCGAATTCTTGTATTCTCTAAGGCTCGCCGCTTTTTGTTTCGCTGTTCTAATAAAGATAGAGAGACAGAGATGGAAAGAGACGGGAGGGAAAGAGAGAACTCCAAGAAGAAAAGATCGATAGATTCTCGTTTACCGTGTGTCCATTTCAATCTTACATTGAATCCTTTTCGAAATATGGAATTCTTTGCGGTTAAGGCTCCTCGTATCTCGTCGGCTATATCGGATTTGTGACGTCAGAAGCGAGGAATGACCTGCTGACGAAAATTGCGTGCCATTTCTAAAGATATATATGGATGAAAGAGTATTTGAGATTGCTTGAACACTCTTGTAAAAATGTCCAAAAGGTATCTCTTTTCCTCTTGATCAATAAATAGTCGTATAATAAATAGTAAAATGAAACGTGTGAGAAATGATGAATTGAGTCTGTTTTATCTGCATGCTTCATTTTACCATTTATTATACAACATTTACTGATCGTCAGAGGAAAGGGATAGTTTTCGAAAAATCTTGCAAGTATGCTCAAGCGAACTCAAGTGCTCTTTCGCTCATATTTATCTTTATTTAAAAACGGCGCGCAACTTTCGCCAACGTCATTCCTCTCTTCTGACGTCACAAATCCTACATAACTAGGGACAGGCACCTTTTTTATTTACCATACTTATTATTTACCATATTTCAATAATATAAACTATATGGCGGTCGCTTATAGTTTTCGAGATATCATTAAAATTTTTCTCGTGTTTCTCATATTAATCTCATATTCATTTATTTCAATTTTGTTCTATTAGTTGGAGAATTTTTTACTATTTTTCTCGTGTTTCTCACTAAAAATGTTTTCGAAAATCACTTTCATTTTGAGGGGCCAAAATTATCGTAATCGTCCTTAAATTGTATATTTATGATTTTTTATGCATCATCGCTTAGACTCTCGCTTCTTTAAATTTTTAGGTCGTAGATCAAAGAGCCTTTTTTCACGTTTTCAATGGGATATTAATCAAAATAACAATTATACACGTGTGTAGCATTTCAGCTTCAGGCACGGTTACGTGGTTGACGGTTTTACATTATACGTATTTTTCGGAAAAAAGTTCGCGGATATTCATTCTTTTATTTCCTCGGATATGAAGCGTTTGTTCCGTTCCGATCGCACGATGGTTCGATTGTTCGCAAAGCAAAAACCTCCCCATCGCTGTCGAGTACACGACTGCGTCTTTCGCTCGTTTTCAACGTTGCGCGTTCACACATACACACATACACACACACATACACACCCCTCGAGACCCGACAAAATCGTTTCCTCGAAGAGACATTACACGCGACAAAATTCACTCTCTCCACGGTAAAGGACAATGACACGTACGGAATAATAATATTCACACACGCGTATAGAAGAGGGAGGGTGAACCAGAAACGTACCAAGATCGTAGAATCGTAGGATCGCGATCGCCACCTTATTATAGTGTAGCGTTCGATTAGGAGCGAAAGGAGAATCGTTTTGTCGATTGATCCTGCCAAAATGTCAAGGAATGGTAATGGGAGAGAAAAAGAGAGAGAGAGAGAGAGAGAGAGAGGGAGAGAGGAATGTCGAGGAAGCGACAGGTACATATATACCTAACGTAAGGATAACCGACGGGATAATTAACGCTTTCGAACGGAGAATACCGTAGACTCGCGCGCCAAGTGCGAGACACGATTTCGCTGGCAGGGGGAAGAAGAAGAAAGAAAAGAAAAAGAAAAATGACTCCCCGGTCGTGTGAACGACGTGAGAAAAAATGGACTGATGAGAAGGAAAAGGGGAGAGGGGGGAGGGAGAGAGCAGTAGCAACGTGCGCGCTCGACGATGACATCGCGATCTTCATGGAGACTTCGGAATTGTACATTAGAAGTAGGCATGTGTTATTCGAAAAATAAAAGTGTATCATGTATAACCCATACAAACCAAGTCAAGTGCTTTCTTAATCTCCGTGCCTTCTTAATATCGCATAATTTATTATCGCACGAACGAACGAACAAAACGTACGACGCGCGGCTGACGATCGTAGAGAGACGTAGAGAAAGAGAGAAAGAGAGAGAAAAAGCGAGAGGGAGAGAGAATCGTTTACTCGCGAAAAATCGTCACCTTCGCGATGGGTGTTGGCAATGGGGAATAACACGACATCGGTAATTGCCCTTGAGGTCAATGTACGCTTAACGTCACGTCCCTCAAAACATGGATTCGTCGCGCCGCCTTAGTAGATGCGTATCGTCAGGAGTTTCTCAGAAGCTGAAAGCGGGATATCGTTTGTCGTGCGTACTCGATTATCCACGTAAAGCTATTATTATTTATCTATTTATCGGTATTGTATACTCTTATCTCTTATTTCTAACGGCCGACGAGAGCTGCGTCCGACGAACTGACACAAGGGGAGATAATGAGAGAGATAGAAAGAAAGAGAGAGAAGGAAGAGGATACACTCTGTCCTTCTTAACACGTCGTGTTGCAGCCTCCTAATCGTCGTCCCGCTTCTCTTTCTCTTACGAATAGCACGTAATAATCGAATATGTATTTATTTCACAGCAACACGAGAGCCGTATGCACATGTATTCGTTTTTCCTTTTCCTTTCTCTACGCAGAGAGAAAACTTTACGCAGTCGTTTTGGTGTGAGTAAAATTAAGTTGTTTGTAACACACACACGCATCGTATTCGTCATAAATAGCCTTTTTGTACTCTGGCAATGATTAATAAAATTTTGTAAGCAAACATCACCTCGTGTGTCGTAATCTCGCTCCTCCTTCAAGGCAGGTAATCGCAGAACGAAAGGACGTTTTGTACTTCTCGATGGGATACATGGTGATGGGAGACTTCGTGATAGTCGCGTCTAGGCGACTGTGAAATCAAACGCGGTGTTTTTGTCGTAAAATAGTTTTTTATTATCAAAATATTTAACATGCTAAATTACGCAATTTGTTGACAATGAAATAAAAACGATATGGCGAAAACAGAATGATGTATACAGAGTTTGAATTTACAGAAACTCCAGAACATGTGACTCGTTATTTCTGTTTTTTTTTTTTTACAAAATAAAACGGCTCAACGGACTGCATATATAAATAGAGACATTTCTTACTGCATATATAAATAGAGATATTTCTTAAATATTACAGAGAATTTCGAACGCAAGCACATCAAGCTTAATGAATTAATGAATTCGATAATCATATCAACAAACGATGTATAGTACAATACATGTGACAAAGAAGACCGATCAATTTCGTACAGAAACAGAAGTAATTGAGACTCAATTTCTTTACAAGTAAGTAAAACAATTCTCGTAAAACAATAATATATTGAAATAATTCCCAGAACAAATGTTTACAGTATAAATACTATTTTTAAATAACATACATGACAACTTATTACAAATAACTCTTATGACATCTAAACACGAAAGTATCAAAACTCATATTTTGTAAAACAGAAATTTAGATTCGCGTGAGTAATCATATAATCATACGTTGTGTATGTGTATGTACGTGTATATGTGTGTAAAATATCTCTGTTTCTGTATTCAATTCTCAAATAAATAACTAATCGTCTGGAAATACTTCATATGGCTTACAGATCCAATAAACAAAGCGATCGCTTTGCTGACGACAGTTTCCTTAAGCGCGACCGCATGAGAATTTATTCAGCATAACGATGAGATCCTTCATTTCGGCTGCGGTGTTAGCTCTGCAGAGAGCGCTGAAGATGTGTTTATGATTAGTCTCTTGCTCTATCTTGCTGGCTATTTCGTGCGCTCTGTTTGTAATGACAGAGGGTACGCCCGCTAATCGAGCGGCATTGAATCCGTACGACTTCGGACAAGCGCCTTCGCTGAGCTTATACAAGAACGTCACAGTTTCCTGCGACACTTCCTCTTTCTCCTCGGTTTCCACCATACATGCCTATAGACAACGCGATAAAATACATCACAGGGAACAACTTGTCGAGCTTTCGCACGCACACAGAGACTGATCTAAAGAGAAAGCCTTGTCTCTCATCGAAAGAATATGAGCAAAGTTCTCACCATATGGGCTAACGTGACCTCCTTGTTGGTCTTGTAATCCTCGACCAAGGAATGATAATGCGTCGAGAATAACGTGCGACATTTCAGCTTGGTCAACGCGTCTACCACCGAAGCCGCTATCGCTGTGCCGTCGTAGGTCGATGTGCCGCGTCCTACGATAAGAGCAAACAATGTCTTCAGCTAATCTGCTAGCCGCAGAGTGTGTCGTGGTGTAACGATATATCAAAGGATTATCGAGCGATCGCTCTTACCCAATTCATCCAGAAGAACCAGCGAATAGGGCGTAGCGTGTTGCAGTATCGTGGCGGTTTCGCTCAGTTCCACCAAGAACGTGCTCTGACCGGCCAGGATGTCGTCGTTCGCGCCCAGTCTCGTAAAAATGCGGTCCACCAGCGTCACGCGGCACGAGCTGGCCGGAACGTAACTACCCTGATTGTTGAACGCACCGGTGAATGAGAAGGATATAAGTTTCGTGGACGTAAACTTTCATTGAGACAAACTAAATTTAAATATAGGTAAATTAAACGCGAAACTGTATTAAGGTTCTCAGAAATTTAATCAATTTTAATTAAAAAGAGCCGCGCAAAGACGCTATGGTAACAAATAGTGGTATTAAATAAATAAGCATAAACTTTTTATTCTATTAGGAGAACTTACCAGTTGCGCCATGATCGTGATCAAGCCCACTTGGCGCATGAGAGTCGACTTGCCTCCCATGTTCGGTCCCGTAAGGATCATGAAAGAGGCAGCATCACCGGTTGCCAATAAGGTATCGTTGGGTATGAAGTTGTCAGATGCGATGCAGGGATGCTTTCCGTCTCTGATCTCGACGAAGATCTGCAAGAGAACGTAAGACGTTCTTCTTACTTCTTGTCACTTTGACAAAAACGCGCGAGACATTAATCGATGGCAAACATCTGCCACCGCGCGCGCAACGATACCGTTACCTCACCGTCCGATCCCTCATGTATCTCTGGAACGCACATATCACCGTTTCGAGCGTAATCCGCGAGCGAGATGAGAACGTCCATGGTGGCCAATTTGTAAACTGCCATATGCCATGTATCGTAGTTCTCGCTGAACTGCGCGAATATGCGCCTGTTAAGATCCTTCAGCACTTTATCCCGGTGCTCTTCCGCATTTATCTGCCGTATCAAAAGTTCCTGCAATGAGAGAGGAAGAGAAAGAGGACTTGATTGACTCCTTTATGACATTGAAAGTACTTTGATATGCGAGACTTTCGCGATGCGAAATTGATTGTGGAGAGATGCTCGTTCGAATTCCGGACTGGTGCTGTGTTCTTTGCGGATTTATTTCCGATGTGTCGCGAATACTTCAGTTTATTTCTTCAGGAAAAGTGAGTTCTGAAATTATTTCTCTTCCTAAAAAAGAGAATTGAAATATTCGCGAAACGTGGGAAACAAATCCGCGAAGGGCGCAGCACCAATCCAGATCGAGCATTGAAAATACTTTATCGATAGCTAATTATTCCCTTGTAATCGGGTACATCATTACACTCACCCTCGCCTCGGCAGTATAGTAGCGTTTGAAGCCTTTTCGTTGCGACTGTAGCTCGTAGCCTGGTCCGACCTTTTTAACTTGCGACTCCGGCACCTCAATCTGATAGCGTTTCCGATCTGTCCCGTGAAACGTTATCTTCACGCCAAAATGTTGCTTCTGTTTCTTTAGATACTGATCTAGATCTTCCTTGTTTTGCGCGAGCTCGGTCAAGACCGAATCATACTCGTCGTCTACTCCTTTCTTGGGAACGATGCAACCTTGCTTCTTGGCTTCCTCGTGGTCGAACGCCGTCTACAATCGCGTCATGATGTCGCAAATACGTAAAAGAAGAAACGCAAAAATTATCTACAAGATATAAGCGCTACCTTAAAGTAATCCAAGATTTCTCTCAGACTTGGGAATTCACCGTTTGGTTCGTACTGAGTACAGCGAGTTATCAAATTATTTTTGAAGTCTGAAAAGAGCGTGTACATAATCATTTTATATAACCAGAAATTGGCACATAAAAAATAATCTAATACGAAAATAAAATAGACATACCATCAAACAGTTCGATGAATTTCAAAACGTCTTCGAACTTGGCGAGGGTCGTAGTGAAATCTATAATTACTCTCTTCGAGTACGTCGGGCCCTCGAACATTATGGCTCTGCCATCGGGGTGATTCTTCATTCTGGGATTGCCTTGAGCGTGTATTCTGTTGCAAAATAAGAAACATGTCAGTATTTTATTCGAATTTTCAAGAATAAAGCTCTTTTGCTGTCTTTACTGCAACCTACTTGCTCAATAATCTCTCGAGGTCCGGCAGAGTTGTCAAGATAGCGCGTGCTGATTGCATCACGTCTATTCGATCCACCAATTCTTCAACGGCTTGTTGGCGCTCCAAGATGACAACTTTGCGGCAAGATGGCCTGCAGATCCATTGGCGCAGCAATCTGGATAGGAAATATAAATCTCTCGTTGACAGAGTGAATAACTGTGAGAGATAAACCAGAAATTAACGTATACACAAACGATTGAAAGTTACCTCTTGCCAAACGCGGTGCAGCAACGGTCCAATACGCTGATAAGCGAACCCTCCCCGAAGATCCTCAAATTCTTTATTGTAACGGCATCTATTACCATGGTATTCGCATAATTGAGACCTGTGCGATTAATCGCGGCTGAGAAGTCCGGTGGACAGTAAGTGTTGAAGCAACCCTGCGCCAACAGACGCTGTTCCAGCAAATACTCCTTCAGCAAGTACACACATCCTCCCAATGCGTGTACCGCTAATTCCTTATTGTCGGCTGGTGTCAGACCTAAACTGTCGCCTGAAAAAATAATTCGTTACGTATGTTGCATAAATATGCAAAGACAAAAAATGAGATCAATTAAGTACCTTCATTAAGATACGGCTTTAAGCCTTCAGGCCATGCAAAGCTGGAGTCTTTCTCCTTCTTGAAGTAGTCCTCTTCATGAAGTTTCTTTAAAGAAAAAAGTGCTTGTGTATATATAGAAAACCCGAAAGAATATAAAATCTTCTCTCTCTTCTGTATAAATTATCTGTTATCTACACTTACTTTCAATGTGGTTGCGGCAGACCAAAATTGCGCTTCGCGCTGCAACGGTTCTTTCAACGCCGTTGGTAGAATACTGTTTATGATCTGTAAAATCTTGGGCGATAGATTACCGCGTTCGTATATTACCTGAAATGTGAGAATAGCGGAAGTCAGTAATAAGCTAAACAGTAATTCATCTGCTGCGATACGTTTAATTTAGCTCGTACATGAACCGGCGGGTGGTGAGCCAGCAGAGTCAACAGCCTGGAGTTGCAACGATCGTCTTCGAACTGGCCAAGATAGAACTCGCCTATTGTCGTGTCGATGAAGCACACACCGAAGGAGCTAGTCGTCGAGTCGAGATTGCATTTCTCAACTAAGGCTAACAAATAGTTGGAATTCGGCGTGGACGCCTCCACGTCCAGCGGAGTGTACACTCTCGTACCCTTGGTGCTGACTTGACAGATCTCTCGCTTCACAACCTTGTCGAACTTCGTCGGCTTGTTCGCTGCAATCGAAATGTAATAACACATCAATCGTATGTATAAACAATAATCATCCGCGAGAGACAAAATGAAAATGCGTCTCGTACTTTTGTTGCAACGCGCTGTCATCATCTCCGGGTTTTCCGTTTGCTCGACTCGCGCGACTTTGTATCCTCTTTCTATGAGACTCGCCGAATAGCGACCGTATCCGATTTCAGGGAATCCAGAGTGCGCAAATTCACCCTTTAATGATAATTAAATGATTATTTCAGAAATAGTCATTATATTTTGAATATACCTTCACCTTGGAAGGAAGAAAAAATCACCATCTTGTTCAATTTTCAACTGTGGACATTTAAAAATTTGTGAACATGTCAAAATCTCTAGGAAGTATAAACTTAATCATAAATTATGTTCTTCGATTAAGATATCAGTTAATGTAATCAATATGTGTTATACAAATTTTACAAAGCTTTAAGACTTTCACAATTGAAATTTCAACAAACATCAATTCTGTTTCCTTCAAGATGCAGATCTGGACTTACTCGCATATACGTGAGGCTAAGCTCATTGACACCAATAACTGCATCCATGTGATACAGTTCGTAGAATTTACCGACTTTGAAGAAGAGTACACAATCAAAATGCTTGCTCTTCAATTCCCACCACTGCCTCATTGCCTGAATGAATATTAAAATAGTTATTCGTTGATGTTGACGCACAATTAAAATAATACTTAACTAATAAATTAATACTGGTAACGTCGTATGCTTACAGGAGTTTGATTAAGCAAGAAGTCATGAGGTACGTAGACAGTCTTAGAATCATAATCCGGATCTTTTGCTGTTCTCCTTTGTATATCTCTGATTTTCCCTGGCTGCAGGAAATCTAATTTCAAATGTGGCCAAGTAGGAGTAGCAGTAGCAGATCCATTACTGATAACTTGATTTTGCGTTTGCATAGCTTGTTTAGGTTCTTTTTTATTCTGAAAAATAAGAAAAATCAGAGATAAAGATGAAGAAATATAAAAGCAAATTTTGCAACTAATTATAAACTTACAGTTTTTGTATTGTATTTTGAACGACTAGGTTGTCTTGGTTTAGATTTAGCATTGGATATTTTTCTTTTTTTCTGAAATATAATATTTATATTAGATACAACTTTCTTTGCTATGAAACAGAGAACCAATATTTAAAATGACTCAAAATTAAAAATAAATTTATATTTATTGGTTTTATAAATATACTTTGATATTACAGATATTTCATCTGTACCTCTGGAGTCTCCTCCTCTGTCTCTGTCTCAGGTTCATGCTCACTATCTCCTTCAGAAACTGATTCAGACTCGTCGGATTCAGCATCTGAAATTTATGAATATTATATGTTTCCAATAATTGTCTACTTAATTTAAAGAGATTATGATAATTTACAACTGTTATTATCTGTATAATTCACAGACCTGGCTTAAAATCATCTCCAGAATCGTCATCAGAATCAACATCAGGTATAATAAGACGTCTCCTTTTAGGTTTTATGGATTTATTCTCTTCATCATCTTGTTCGTCTTTGTGTGATCTCTTTCTGTCATCAGTATTTTGATTTTCTTTTCCTCTGCTATTCTTGACATGTTCTATATAAATCATTTGCATATAATAATTACAAAAATATTAATGATTTAGATTACACGTTATAGAAGCATCTTAAAAGTAAATAAGCAATGTTTTTTTGTCAATACTCATTTATTTATATTAACGATATTTTAATATAAAGATTTATATTATAAAGTGAAATAATCGACCATTTAAAAAAATCGTGGCGTCTATTTACTTTTGAAATATCTGTATAAATATAGAATATAATAACAGCTTTTGGAAATCATTTTTACATTTTTTACATATCAAGAGTGAAATATTCCAGTTCAATTGTCTGAAAATTCTTTAATTATCTGTTATGCATGATTGGATAAAATTACATAAATTGTCATTTCATGCGTTTGTTATTGCTGAATAAAAACATTACGTACGAGGCAACGATTCATTCTATCTCGATACGTATTGTTCAGCACGAATAAACTCGTGCTCCCGCCCAAAATTCATCTGAAAACAAACCTTTGTTCTTTTGTTCTCTCTTGGGAGTCTGCGACTTTCCTCTCTCCTCTTTTTTCGGCTCCGGTTTCTTGACAGCTTTCGGAGACGAGAAATAATTAAGTATCGTGTTCACTTTCGGCATGTTTCGAACAATCGAACAAAATAGATTTTACAAAGAAGCATTCGCCGAAAATGCGGGCAGAATACGAACACGTTACGTAGCAACGAGCCAGAGCGCGGATCAAATGCCCGGCAAATTGTGCTTTCTCCTCGCAGACTCTTCCGAGACAATCGCAATTCGCTCGCTCGCAGTGCCGACAAGTTTGAATCTATTATCCCTAACATCTCGTTACAGTCTGGTAATTTTCGTAAATTATTTATCTGCATATTTTAAAAATATTTTGTATAATTGTTTTATTAAGTGTTAATTAGGGCGCAATTATCATCAGAGACTAAAACGATGTTTCCTTTTATAGTTAAAAATTTTCTGATCTTTCGTCATATTGTATTATAAAGGTCCGTCTGACTCGTTGTTGAGTTGCACTACTACCGCAACTTGCCGGTGGAAATGGCTGCGTTCAGCAGAAAAAGCTGCTTTGCAACTGTTGTAAAATTTGTGAATCTGATTGGTACATGTTCTTGGATTCAACTAAAATTAAGAACATGCTCCAATTAGATTCACTAATTTTACAACAGTTGCAAAGCAGCTTTCTCTGCTAAATGCAACCAATCGTGGCGACTTGTAAGATGCGTTCAGATTTCTCATCCGGGTGCACTCTATTACTAAAAACACTATGGGTGCTTCCGAAATACCCAGAGTTGGGTCGAGTTGAGTTAGTTCCACTATAGTATATGTAACGGATACTATAGTGGAACTAACTCAACTTGACCCAAACCTGGACATTTCGGAAGCACCCTATAGTATATATTACATATACTATAGCACTTCTAGTAATAAAATATACCCGGACGGGGAATCTGAACGCAGCCTAGCGGAGACTTTGAAAGAAGAGCGTCCCGATTGACCACGGTACGATTGGACACAACTAAAGGCTCGTCTACAATGTCTGTAAGAATATGGATATGGAAGGTTGTAACGTGAGCTGTTAGTGAATGAAAATAATTTATTTCACGTCTTATAGCCTTACAGATATTGTAGACCATGCTTAAGGCTGCGTTCGGAAACTTCACTCAAGTTCACCTCTCTTTTTATCTCACTCTTGTATTTCGCTCACTCCAACGTCTAGTAGTGTGCATACAGTATGTGTTTCCGAACGCAGCCCTATCTGGCATGTCTGAACCTATAAACTTTTGCTGTACTTGCCAGTTCCAGTTCCAAACCAGTGCAGTTCCAGTGCAGCACTAGTTCAGTTGAAAAGAACAAACCTATTATGTTTCTAGTAGAGTGAACCCGGATGAGGAATCTAAACGCACCCCAGGGTTGCGTCCCAAAACTCTACTCGACGTAGAATAATATTTAATTGACTAATAAGAACAAAGATAACTAGGATTTTTTTATCATAATTGGTCAATTAAATATACTCTACCCACCGAGTAGAATTTTGAAACGCAGCCCAGGATGCGGAAACTTTGCCGCGCGCCAGGAAAATCTCTACACGATATAATTTAAAGATTTGGGGCCCGATTCCTGACGGCGTGCGAGTGAGATGCGCATGCGAAGATCTATAATTCATGTTATATATACTATATATTTTCGCATGTGTATTTTGCTCGCATATCGTCAAGAATCAAGCCCTTGTTCTTTGTAACTGCACTGCTGAACTGTGCAATAAATTGAAGTGAGACAAGTATACGTTTTCTTACTCTAACCTTTTGCATTAGTTCAGCAGTGTGCAGTTACAAAGAACAGATCTTTAAATTATATCGTGTAGAGATTTTCCTTGGTATCAACATTATCCCCTCCATTTTTCGGGAAACTGTCGTCTAACCATACGTAAGTTTTACTGCGTAGGTTTAACCATATCATAAAATAGCTGCGCTAATATCTGCGCAATGAAAATTACGTATACGCAAAAATTTCAAAAATATGGACTCTGTTTTTTGTAGCTGCACTGCTGAACTAGTGCAATAAGTAGAGTGAGAAAACGTATATTTGTCTGACTTCAATATATTGCACCAATTCAACAGTGCAGCTACAAAGAACAGGCCTAATGCAGGATTCACATCGCGTCCGATGTCCGACGTACGACGTTCGATATCCAATAAAAGAATAGCTTTCTAATGGAGAATTGAATTCTATATTAGAAAGTTATTCTCCTATTGGATATCAGACATCGTACGTCGGACATCGGACGTGATGTAAATCCTGCATAAAAAGTGACGCGGCCAAAAGGAACGCAGCCTTATTTAGTAGTTCCATAGTTTTCTCTACGAGTCGCCACTGTTTTCATCAACAAAACAAGATAGTAGTACAACTCAATGATTGGTCAGTCAGACTTTATTTTTCAATAACTCAAACAACGGGTCGGAGGAATTTTTATCTCTGTATATCGACAAATGTAAGTCCCTCCGACGTGACGATGAATTATAACAATTATATTTGAAGCCAAGAATAGTTAATTGATTCTTCAGCGAAGAGAGAAACGAACATTGACTCGTTAATAAACGTCACCTATCCCTAGAATGCAACTGAACAGTGTTCGCACAGTTCGTGCAATGTTATACGTCGACGATAATTGAATGCTAAGTTATTTAAAAATAGCGCTCATTGTGCTTTCTCAGTGCTATAACGCAATCGAAGATAGGTCGACGATATAAGTTCATTGCTGGCGATAATCTAATATGATGATTTAACGTCGAATCTAACGATTGTAATCAATACGTCAAACTCATACGTTGACAGTTCCTGGTGTTATTTGCGAGCGATTTTCGGACTGTGCGACGATGCAGCGGTACGATCTGCTGATCCAGGAGATTGAGGGCATCGACGATTATCTGGGCCCGACGTTTCGGTAGGTAGACTCTACGAAATTCAAGGTAAGAGCGGGCGATCGAAGTACGCGCCCCCGTGAGAAACACACCCCTTGATCACGCAGATGCGACGAGCGCATATGCGCATTCGACTCGGGGGTGGCCGAGGGGTGGCAATAAGGGTGACGACAGAAGGGTGCACGCGTAATTTGCAATTCAAGCGGACTCTCGCTAGGGTCGTAACATGTCAAGAGTATCAATTAATTCGTCGCAAAATCTAATGTCTATGGTGCCGAAGCACGAATACCTATTATTCGAAATAGAATCGACTGATACTAATAGCATAGGTCTAGTTTTCAGGTATTATTAACAATGAATGTGCCATGTGTTCAAGTAGGAGGATAACAGAAGCTGTCATCGTGTTTGCTTGGTGTTGCAGGGCAATTTACGATGGCCACGAGCATCAAAAGTTCATGGAGAAGCTGGATGATCGTATCAAGGCTCACGACAAGGACATTGAAAGAATGTGCAATCACCACTACCAGGGATTTATTGATTCCATCAGGGAGCTCTTACAAGTTCGCTCTCAAGCACAGCAACTTAATGTTAGTTAACTTTACTGTATACTATGCTTGCAGTACCTTGAAATTAGCTTCAATTGTTTTGACTATTGCATTCTATGATGCAAAGAAATGCTATGTGATAGTCTAAATATTATATACTGAGAATAGATGTAAAAATAATCCAGTATCTAATTCAATTCTTTGCTCATTCAGGCTGATATATTGGAGCTTGATAAATGCATTACTGCTACATCCACTAAAGTAATTGAGAAGGGTGAAGAACTGGTTAGAGCCCGCAAGGTAGAGAGCAATATGGCTGCTGCTGTAGACAGTCTTACTATGTGCCTTCCAGTGTTAGCTGCTTATGCAAAGCTACAAAAACAGTTAAAGGATAAGCGTTATTATCCAGCACTGAAAACATTGGAACAATTGGAGCATCATGATTTGCCAAACGTCACGAATTATAGGTTTTCCTCTCAAATCACTCAACAAATTCCACAGTAAGTTTGATGAAATCTTTGTTAGACATATATGTGTTAGACATATATGTTGTATTTAATTGGTCAAGAAAATGCTTCATAAAAGTATCTTCTTTGTTTTAGATTGCGAGAGAATATAAAGGATGCGTCTATGTTTGACTTGCGAGATTTTCTAGAAAATATCAGAAAGTACTCACCAAAGATTGGCGAAGTTGCAATGAGGCATGTGAGTGCAATTCTTACTTAACAGATTTATCTATGTATATTACTTTTAATCAAAATAACTGTTTCATACAATTATAGTTGTATATAATGCAATATATTATATTTGTATATATATTTTATTAATTTTTATTAAGTTTAATACTCATCAGCTTTGATAAATTTACACCAGACCGCCGAACAGTTGGCTACTGAGGCGGAAATTATCGGGAGGAAGAAGAGGAGATCTCACACAAACAACCCGTCCTCGAATGAGGGCGAGGAGGAACTGAGCGCTCAAGATTTAATGGATTTCAGTCCGGTATATCGATGCATGCACATTTATACCGTGCTGCGCGAAGGAGACACTTTTAAGACTTACTATAGGCAACAAAGAAAACAGCAAGCTAGATTGGTTCTACAGCCACCCATCAACATGGTAAATTCGTCTGTTGAGTTGATATTGTGTGCTGTATGCATCTATTACTAACAAGATCATTGTATTAATGAAATGTTTTGTCTATTTTTAGCACGAAAGTATAGTCGGATATCAGACTTATCTACACGGCATTATCGGTTTCTTCGTAGTAGAGGATCATATATTAAATACTGGTAATGGATTGGCCACGCGGGCGTACTTAGACGAGCTTTGGTCAATGTCGTTGTCTACTATAGTCAATGCTTTACGGACACATTCGGTAAATTATAATTATTAATGTATAATATATAATTTTGTTATATTATCGTAGTAATATCACTCTGAACAAGGGATTCGTTTCAGGCATATTGCACAGACGCTACGCTCATATTAAAAATCAAGAATCTCATTATGCTGTTTAATACTACTCTACGGGTGAGAATATATATTTATGTCGATGTTTGCGTGTGTAATTATTAATAAGCTTATAATATGTTGAGTTACTTTGAATATAAGATAAAAGCTACAATTTATTTGAAATATTTTTAATAAATTGGACATTATTGTTATAATAATATATTCAACATATATATTTTTTATGTACCTATGTTTAACCTGTCATTAATACATAAAGCATTTAAAACTTTGTTTTAGAGGGAGGGGGTGGGACAACTAAAATTTTTAATAAATTTTAAAGATTGTCATGTCTATAATTATATGTACATATATTTGCTTGTCATTCAATGAACTTTCTCTTTATGGTACAGAATTATGGTTACTCTGTAGGACAACTTTGGGATTTGTTACAAGAAATCAGAGTGCATTATAATGAAGTACTGATGCAACATTGGGTTCAAGTATTCAGAGACATTTTGGATGAAGATAGTTTCTTACCAATTCAGGTAATTATATTCAGATATTTGTTCTTACTTGAAAGCGTAATATATATATATATATATATATATATATATATATATATATATATATATATATATATA